ACCACCCACCCCAGGCTGCCTGATTTTCTAGGCTCAGGCCCCAGCCTCACCTCCAGCACATCTCCCTGGACCACAGTCAGCTCCTTTGGGTTCCTGGCTTCAAACTCATATAAGACTTGCATTCTCAGGGCTGGCTTGACAGATCTTGGGGTGAAGGGCACAGGGTTGGGGTCCCCACACTGAGAACCATGGTTGTGTGTCTCCTCTTGAGCCAAGTGTAAGGTGCTCCCTGACTTAACGCTCCTGCCCCGCCCCCACAGACAGAGTCAGGAGAATGGGCCTCAGAAATTGAGCCCTTGCTCCAGCCCCAGAGCCCCAGCTACCTCCCACCTGGGGTCTGGAGGTGACTTTTGGGTTTCCACAGAGCTTAATGACAGGTCAGTGTTAGTGGGCTGGGGGTGGGTTTTCTGCAGGCAGCAGGGGTCTGGAATGTGGCTGATTTCTGCAGACTCATCAGCTGTGGACTTTCCTCTACCTGAGCTCTTCTCTATCTGAGCTCTGGGAAATCAGAGGCAGGTATGGGCAATATCGCTAGAAGAGGGATTGGAGCTCGGGAAGGTAAAAACCTGCATTTTCACTCAAGGTGGGGAAGGCAAGTTCTTGTACACATGTGTGTCTGGCTAAAAGAGAGCCCAGAGGGTCTCTGAGATGAAGCACCCACAGATCCACAGGGTCAGCCCATCTCACCTTCCCCATAACCACATGGTCCCGACTAAGCCCCGGGCTTACCGGAGGGAAGTAGAGTCCTGGTATTCTGAGGGTGCCTATGGGGGCAGGACAGAGTGAGCGAGGGCAGGAGGTCAGCCAGCATGAAGATGGGGAGCTGGTATCAGACCACAGACCCACTTTATCTCCCACACACCTACCTCTCATCCCCTCCCCTGCCTGCCCACCATCCAGATGTGGGTACTCAGTTGCCATGTGACCATGGTTTTGACCAAGAAGGCAGAAATTAGCCAGAGACCAGGGCTTTGAGTAGGGCTCTGTGCTAAGCTCCCCTTACCTGGTTGAGAGGTTCTGGAGGCTGCCAACCATCATAGAACATGGGTTGGTAGGGTTGGGGCTCACTGCCTGTCCAGTTGTCCCTGGGGAGAAAAATGAGCTGAGTCCACTCTGTGCCAGGCTGTAGGATGTGGCATGTGGCATGGAGGAGTAGACTGAGCCTAGCCTCGGGGTCTCCTAGGTGATGGAGGACACAGCCCATGTGCACAGGTGAAAGGCCCCAGAACACCCACAAAGGAGCAGAGTTAGGTGTGAGCAGATCCCACAGGGCAGGGATCTGTGGCCAGCTTCACCTCTGCCCATGTTGTTCAGATACACCAACTCCATAAGAACACTCTGGGCACTTGATTGCACTGATCGGGGTTCAAATTTAAGTTGCGGGGAGAGGTGAATATTTCCGCTCCTGCACTGTCACTGAACTTGGGCCACCCCAGGTTCTCCCACACTGTACTGCAAATGACTCTCACATGACCTTGAGGGCTGCTATCCTGAGTACAGTGGAGGGCACATAGGTAGCAACTAATAATATTTATTCAATGGGATCAAATAAATTGTTCCCTTTCCTGAATCTTAAGTGGTTCCTTCTCTTTGCTCTAAAAACAAGCTCAGGTCTTCCCTTGGCTGTGTTACTACTGCTTTTAAGCTGTCATTCTATTACATTCCCTTTGGCAAATTTTTTGAGAATGTGTCTACATGCCCTGCCTACACTTTCTTTCCCCCGGTTCTTCTTCCTTTTTAAATATATCTTTATTGATTTCAGAGAGAGGAAAGGAGAGGTTGAGACAGAAACATCAATGATGAGAGAATCGTCACTGATCGGCTGCCTCCTGCAGGCCCCGACTGGGGATCCAGCCCGCAACCCGGGCATGTGCCCTGACTGGGAACCGAATTGCGATCTCCTGGATCCTAGGTCGACACACAACCACTGAGCCACGCCCAGCCGGGCTCCCCTGGTTCTTTCATTAGTCCTCTCAGCCTGATTTTTGCCATTACTCTATTGAAATCAGTTTTTCTAAAGTCCCGGTAGTCTCCCAATTGCCAAGTCCAATGGCCTTGTATGGTCCATATCCTTCTGGACCACAGCATTTAGCACTGTTTATAGCTTTGGGTCAGTTTGCCTAAAATCAAGCCACCTTAAATATAATGTGCCTGAAATACAACTTTTCTAGGGTTTTTGCATCCTCTTTAGTCTATTTTCTGCATTTTTGTCTTTTAATTCATTTATTCATGAATTTCTTGTTATTTTAAGAAATTAGAAAACATTTTAGGGCCCATCTGACCTAAGTTTGTATTTAAAAATGATGAACAGAGTTAGAAGGTAGAAGGAGATGGCTGGGCGTTTGGGGGAGGGAGGAAGCAGTACAGTTTTGTTAATCGCTGAACGGGTGCAGAGTTTCTGTTTGGGGTGATGGGACAATTCTGGAAATGGGTAGTGGTGATGGTCGCCCAACGTTAAGTACTTAATGCCATTGAATTATACTCTTAAAAACATGGAAATGGTAAACTACATCTTATGCATATTCTATCACAATTAAAGAGAGATTACATTGAATTATAATCTATGTCATTGGATGGGTTGGACAGCAAACCCTGTAATGAAAAGAACTCACTAGGCAAGATACTAGAGCAAGTGGCTTATATCCTGGTTGGCTTCTCTTTCTAAAATCCTCTTATCTCTCGGTTTTTATGCCTCTGCTTATTTATTTTTTGTTCTTTTGAATCTCGGGAATTTCACTTTGCCTCCCTCTTTCCTTTATCTACCTACACGTAGAAGTTTCCTCTCTCTCTGGGTCAGACAGACCTTGTTCATTCAGGTCCGTTCCGGGCCGCCCGCTGGAGCGCTGACCTCTAGGTGGCGCCAACCATCATTTCTGCACTGACTGTTCTCAAACCCTCAGCCGGGCGGGACCTCTCACCTGGGGTCGGGGCCACCCTGTCTCTCTGGAATGTTCTGATACTCAGCCGAGCACATCCAAGCTGCTTTTATCCCACTCCTATGGCTCTCATCGGTTTGGCCTTGTTGTCCAACTGCCCATCTCATGGTTACATGGACCTGCGATCTCACTTTTGATCTGAAACTCCTCAGCCAGTTGGTCGCCAAGTCTTACAGATGTCACATTTGCAGCATCTCTTACGTCAATAATTTTGAAACTCTGGGCCAGATGGAGACAAAGTTTTCACTTTGTCCTCGAAAATGTGAAAATATTTTAGTAGAAGGTGGCCAACTTGACTTTCTTGGGAAGAATTGTTCTTTTTTTCTGAGATAATTAATGCCTTTCCTTCCGTGGCGGGTGTTGGCAAGTGGTGGTTTTAAAAGGAAATTGTTCATACTTAGTCCAACATAGAGTTGGGAACTCCATGTAGAGCCTTCCAACTTGTTTTGAGATGTTTCTCGTTTGCTACAGTGTAGAGTTTGCCACATCCAATGCCCTGCTCTGTGCCCCCATGTGCCGGGCCTTGACTTCACTCACCGGCTGGTGGTCCAGGCCACACCCAGGCTCTTCCAGAGTTTACTGTCCGGGGGGCTTAGATAGAACTGCAGCATGTCGATGGCTTCGGGGGTGAGGAGGGGTGAGATCACTTGGGATGCTAGGTCATGCTCAGGGCACTCAGCCAGCACCTAGAGGAAGGATGGAAGGTGTCAGGAAGCCGAGGTTCCTGTAGGGCCCAGCTGGAGTGGGAAAGGGCCTGGTATCCCTGTGCCCACTTCTGCGATGCCACATTGCCTCAGGCCTGCTGCTCCTTCCCGGCTCCCCCAGAGCCCTGTTGGCATGGCTCCAACCCCAGCCTGTCTAGTCTGCAGAGGGGTGCTGTCCACAGTGGGATGGTGTCTTGGGTTCGAGGAGGGTGTGTTGGGGTGAGGGAGGGGAAGACCCCACAGCCTCCTTCTACCCTCTGCCCGCCACCCTGGCCTCTGCTTTGTCTACACTTCAGCTTGTACCTTGTTACCACCCTGACCTCCCTCAACTCACGGAGTTCAGAGCCTGGAAGAGCATGTGCAGCAGCTGTGCGGCACTTGGTTCCTGCAGATGGAGGATCAGCCTCGCCTGGGGACACAGAGGCTGCCATCAGCACCCTCCATCCCATCCCATCCCATCCCATCCCACCCCACCCCACCCCACCCTCATCAGGGCCCCATAATTGTTCTGGGCCCTGGTTGGCAGCGTGGCAATCCCTCCAAAGCCCTGAGAGGGGGCAGAGGAGGTCCCAGGGGGGAAGCTGGAGAAGCCTGGGAGCCTATGAGACCAGAGAGGAGGGGGTGCTGGGGGTGGTGGTGTGAGGAAGGGCTGGGGAACTGGTGGGAGCCACACACCAGGAGGTTGAAGCTGTACTTGAACTTCTGGAAGCAATCGATGTACTGCGCCTGTGTCACCCCTATGGGCGAAGGAGAGAAGGTGGCGGGTCACAGATGACTCCAGGACCCCCCCCTCCCCTGGCCTCAGCACTCACCCCCTTGATTCTTGTTCTTTTTCTTTCCCAGTCTCTTTGTCTTCTTAACTCTGGTGCTTGCCTGGGTCTTCCTCAGGTGTCCCATGAACACTTCAATGTCCTCTAGGACGTGGTTCAGCACCTCCTGGACCACAAACAGCTCTTGGCCTTGAGTGGGCAATTAGGCCAAGCCCGGAACTCCCAGCCCTGGCCCTGCCAGAGACTCCCCGTCCCTCCTCAGCCCAAGGCCTGCCTTGGCCGTCCTGGGACCTGGCTCCCTAGGGGAAGGGTTGGTGGGCCTCCCTTTGGCCAGGCTCAGAAAGCTCGGAAATCCCAGATAACCTGTAGTTACCTCATCCCTCACTGGGTTCTCAGGGGCTGGGGACTGCCTTGGAGGAGGCTGAGCGAAGGCGTTTAGTTCTTGGGCACTGGAGTGTCGTAGCAGGGGCCTTGGGGATGGTGGTATGCCTGTAATGTAAGGGGACCATGGCATCTTTGATCTAAAACCCCTGCCACCCGCCCCCATACCCCAAACTCACTGTGCTCTGTGGCCATCCAGTGGGGCTGTTCTGGAGGGTACCCCCGCTCCAGGGGGTGTGATTGCTCCTTAGGGAGTGGCCTTTCGGGAGGAGGGCCCCTCCATTTGTCCTGTCCTGGGTGAGGGGCTCCAAATCGGGGTCTGCTGGGCACATAATGAGGACACAGCCTTGACAGTGCTCTTGGCACAGAAGCTTTCCCCACACTTCTCTCCAAGTCTCCACCTGGAACCTTCCCTGACTCTACCTGGCTTCACCTGCCTACCTCCGAACCCTCTCAGGTCCCATGTCAGGATCGAGGGACAGTCTCCAGTGTCCCCTGGGCTCGGCGCCAGCCCATCTACACCTTGGATCCAGCCTGGACCCTCCCACTCCAGGCCCAGGTTCTGTGGGCTACAGGCTCCTGGGCTCCTGCCCAGGCCCGAGCTCTGAGCTCCTGCAGGTGGGCTGGGCAGAGGCTGCCTACCTGTGCTCCAGCTCCTCCTTCAGGGCCTTCTGCAGGCTGGTCCTCAGCTGCTCTGCCTGGAGGAAGCAGCAGGTAAGCAGGTTGTGTGTGTGTGTGTTTGGGAGAGAGTCGGGCCCCACACTCCCACCCACACTCACGCTTTCCTAGACCCTGCCCCTGGCCACTCACCCCCACTTCCTGGCACTGGAAGAGCAGAGTGCTGCCGCCGTGTAGGCCTGCCTCCCGCACGGTCACGGACAGAACCGAGCTGTAGGAGCAGGAGTTGAGTACCACGTCCATGGCCTGGATGCTGTCCAGGCGGTAAGAGTCCAGCTCCTCCTGGGCCAGGTGGAGAGGTGGCTGTGAGGTCACTGAGAGCCAGGGTGGCTCCTGCTCCTGGCAGTTCCTGACCTGGGCCGCCCCAGCCCTCCAGGGGCCTGGGGCTGGAGTGTCAATGTCCCTGACCCCTCGGCCTCTGTGCCGGGTCTCTTCCAAGGCCCGGATGTGTATGGCACATGGGGAGGGGTGGCTGCTGTTTGAGGCACAGAGGGGTGGAGCTGATGCCTGCCACTTGCTTTGCCACAGCCCGGGTTAGTTATGGCCCACTGCGGGGGATGGCGCGAGTGCTGACCTTGGTCTCGATGTCCAGTAGCTGGAGCCAGCCGTCTTTGACCTGCAGGAGCAGGTTCTGGCTCCACACCCGGCCCTGTGCGTCCATCTCCTGCAGCTTCTGCACGGCGTCCTTGGGCTCCCGGACTCTCTGAGTGCCCAGCTTACAGGTCATCAGGTGCTGAGGGGAGAGGAGGAGGCCCGGGACTGGGAGCAGGTTTGGAGGGAGGTTCACGGGGAGGATCACAGGGGGTGGTGGGCAGGGGCGAAGGGCAGCAGAGGAGGAAGACATGGCCTTCCCGTAGAGCAGCCTTCAAGGGCCGGTGTGAGGGCCAGAGCTGGCTAGGACAGGGCCCCCAGGGTGGGGCCTGACGGGCTGCTCGAGGGGGTTTAGGACTCTGGAGAAGGGACATGGCCTTTCACAGCCCAGGCCAGCTGAGGGGGCGGGATGGTGGTAGGTGTGGGCTCCAACCACGCAACAGATAAAGCCTGAACTCCTCTGGGTGGGACACAGGACCCTCAGGTTCGTCCCTGGCTTCCTTTGTGCCTTTGGGGATCCACTCGCCCAGCCTGGGCCTTCTCACTGATCTACCATTCCTGTCTCCATGCCTTTGCTCACACTGGTCCCCATACCCCCTTCCCACTTCTGCTCATCCCGCACCTCCCGGGGAGGGGAAGAGCAGGCCAGGCCTCTGCCCTGACTCCTGCCCAGTGAGGTCTGCAGTGGGCAGGGTCTCCACCCNAGGGCGGGGAGGGGAAGAGCAGGCCAGGCCTCTGCCCTGACTCCTGCCCAGTGAGGTCTGCAGTGGGCAGGGTCTCCACCCAGGCCCCTCCCTCAGCTGGTCTGGCAGGTTTTCTCCTCCCTCCTCCCTCCTTCCTCCTCCCTCCTCCCATCCACATGCAGCCTTCCCGAGTCACAGTCTCGCCCCTCAGTCCCTCCAGGCCCTTGTCCAGGGAGTGCCATCTGCCTCCTGCCTCTGGTCCCACCGCCCTGCTCTGTGCACAGGTCCCAGCTCCTCTCCTGGAGGAGTCGCTGGCACGGTCAGGCCCCTGACGTGGTGAGCAAACGCCTTGGCATCCTGGACGTGCCCCCTCTTGCTCTCACCTGCTGGGCCTCAGGGAAGCCAGTTTCCAACCCCATGCCCACCATGAAGCCCAGGAGCCCTGGTCCCTACCAGCTGGGGGAGCCCTAGCTCTGCTGCCCTGTGTCCCTCCCTCCTTCTCTGGGACAGCCCAGAGTCTGCTGCTGCCCAGGTGTTTGCTCTCCCCACCACACCCCTCTAGTCTGTGCAGTGTTGTGTTGGTTGTGTCCATAGCCTTTCAGGCGACTTGATGTCACAGTGCCAGTATCCTCCCAGGCAGGGCCTCCAGGCGGCTCCTTTGTGCCCCACCTGCCCTGGGAGCTCAAGACCAGATGCCTCCCTTGTGGGGACCGCTGACCTCACACATTCCTTCTTCCCTGTCAGGCCACATCCTGGGCAAAGAGCAGTTCCCTGGGGACTGGTGGGTGTGTCAGGGGGTGGGTCTAGAGATAGGTGGGGGTGGCTGCACCTGCCTCCTGACCCTGCCTCCGCTGCTTGGTCCTGCCTGGCTCTGAGGTTCCTGCCTGGGGCCTCCCCTGGGCCTCCCTGGTTCTTAGTCAATGCTCAGCTAGGCTGTTGGACTAGCACCCACCAGATCTGGCTGAGGCAGGACTTGTTTGAATGTCTGGTTTTGGGCAGGGTGTTGGGCACACAGGAAAATGTGGGTTGACTGGGGAAACTGGGCCCCAGGTTACTCACCTCCACCCGGTGTGGCAGGCAGGTGGGCTCTGAGGCCAGGTTGTGCAAGTACTCTTTCCGGTGCACTGCACAGAAGAACCAGGTGAGACAGGCATAGGCAGGGGGTGGGCCGCATGGGGAGGGAGAGAGCGGAGGGCTGGGGTCCAGGGAACTCAGAGGGGGGGCCAGGGAGAGGGGACCAGAGGGTCAGCTTACTGTAAATGGCTTTGCTGCTGGGCCGGGACATGGTGACACTGCTGATGACTCCCTAGACCCTAAACTGAACCAAAGGGACAGCCGTCAGCTGGGGAGAGAAACCGCAGGGCAGAGTGGGGCAGGGTGCTGATCCTGTGACTTGTCCTCGACCCGGCCTGAGGCCTCATCTCCTCAGTGAAGCCCTTCTTGA